AAAGTTTAATACCTCAAAAATCTCCTCTTCTTGCTTATTTAGATAAAAGTTTAATAAATGTTCTAGAAAATGTGTACACATTTGAGAAAGTTATTGATCGTGAGTTGTTATGGTGCTTGCTTCGTATAGAATTTCCATCATCTTATGAATCAGCTAATTACATAAAGTAAGCCTCTTTTTTTTTTTGAATATCGTAATTTTTTTCATCAAATAATATTTACTGATGGTGAATAATTTTTTTTATAGATACTTGGTTCAAAAAATTCAATGTCATAAGGAATTTATGAATTGGATACGTAAAAATCAAATTAAAAATTGGCAATTAGAAGTCGCAATAAACAAAAAAGATTTATATCTATATTCTTCTTTCTCAATCGCTTTACAAATATATATTTGTAACCAAGCTAGAAAACCTGTATCTCAACTATTATTTGCTTTAGAGAAAGTATCAGGACTTTTAATCCTTGAAAGTAATAACTTACTTTGTGAGGGAAACAGAATTGATGAGTATAATGATGCTGCACCTAATTTATTCGCTTTCTGGAAACCAATAATTACGAATACCAAAATAGTTAATATTGAGAATTTAAAGATACCTTACATTATAACAAACAAATTTTATGGTTTGAAACTTCCATTTTCAACATACTTTATGGAACATATTAATAAATTTAAAAGTATATATCAGGATGATTTAAAGATGCTAAAAGGAATTCCAGAAAATCTTGATGAAGAAACTGGCAATCTCAAATCACATATTATTGATGACTGCGTTGAAAGGTTGTCAGAGCACATTATTTCCGTAGTTCCTGAGTTAAAAATACCACAGTTTGATTTGCCAAATGCATATTTTAATGATTTTGCGACTATTATTTCCCATGGAAGAATTGATAACAGCCAAATATTGCGTCAAATTATATCTCATCACATGAATCAAGAAGTGCCAGATCCTATAAGGCTTCATGTGTTTTGGTGGGACAATGAAGACATAATCTTGACTGAATTGCAATTGATTTCACTACTTCCAAACATTGCTGAGGAAATTTTAAGTACTAAATTTGACCAAGATGGAGAATTTAACTTAAAGAATTACTTATTCAAACGAGAATCAAATATTATGATTAATAAGCTTTTCAGCATCATTAATAATAGCAATAAGAAAAACAATAATATAAGTGAGATGGCTTGTAACGAGAATGAACAAATTAAACTTCAACAATGGCAGCGTGATATCGCAAATATTTTATCAATTTCTTCCAATTTATCAAATTCATTCAACAATCCGTCACTAAATATGCTTCGAGTATATAATGACTTGTCTAAATCAATTTCCTTAACACAATTGTTTCAAATTAGGCAACACGCAGCTGATTTATTTTCAAAGCAATCTATTGATATTATTTTCGAAAAACTCGATCAAATAGAAAAAGAAAAAGCGGAAATTAGTTTGTCTTCAAGAAGTTCTTTTATTTATAGATGTTTGAACACAATTCAACTTGAGTCATCTGCATGCTCTCACCTTTATGTAAAAATATTTTCTCAAGAACCTTTACCATTTACTTTCTATACCATTTACTTAATTTTTGAATCTGAAAATGCGGCACAAAATGGATTATTATTTATTAATATTATTAATAATCCAGAAGTTCTAAAAAGCACAATGAGGCTGAAAGTTATTGAAACCATCTTATCCAGGAAAAGGAACTCAAAAATAGCAGCGTTATGTTGTGATGTTATTCATATGCAACTCTCGAAATATCAGATACCTCATTATATTCTGATGAAAGCAATAGATATTTTGACTAGAGATACTAAAGATACTAAAGAATTAGAGAAAATTACTGCAATTGCCCTTTTGAAAGTATTTGCAAGTGAATTCTGGAATTGTATAGAACCCAAAGATTCTTTAAACAATCCAATAAATTATAAGTTTATAGATGATTTAAATAAACGTTTAGAGTTGCCAATAATGCACCCTTTAGTTCATTCATTCGCAATATATTTGATTAAATCTTTATATTTGAAAGGATTAACAACTTATGACATTAAACAATTCTGTCATGCACGGCAACATATTTTACAATGGGTCAGAATTTTAATAACAGATTGTAATAGTCGACTTGGATTTAATCCTTATTATTACTTTAAACAATTTAAACAATTTGATCTTTTATTCAGAGAAATTTCTTATAGTGATGAATTATCAGTAAAAAATACATTTAACACGATTGCTGAAAATAATGATATAACTCAAAAAATTTCATTGGCTGGAATGATAATAACAAATTTTTATCTTATTAGAGCATCACGCAAATTGAATTCAAATGAAATTATGTTAATCCAAAAGATGTTTATGTGTTTACGTTCATCTAGACTTCCAGTGAATTATAAAATACACCTTTTAAATTTTATGACAAATACTCGTCAATTATATGAGCTAAGCCCAAATGTCGAAAACACTGATTTATTTATTTCTTTGGTTATTGCTCATATCTTAGTGTTACATACATCACTTCCTGCTAATGCCTCTCCTCTAAGTGCATATATGCAGTTATTGTATGATTATAAAGATACATATATATTGACTTGTCCATCAGATGAATTGACTTTAATAACAAATGCTATAATAGCAAAGGATTCAGGAACAAGGAGGTATGTTATTTTATGTTATTTTTTCTAAATTTATTAACGTTTTATCTAAATAAGCTAGAAGAGGATACTTTTGAGGTATTAAACTTTCAATAACAAATAGATCCCATCCACACAAGAAATTAAAAGATGATATTGTAGAAGCCGCATTTTCTTTTCGCATATGAAGAATTATACAAACGTGTTTAATTTTTTTTGTTGAATTTTTGCTTGCCATGAATTCATTCTTATATTGTTCTATAATGAATTTTGCAAGTTTAATACACTCAGAATTTGCTGCATTCAAGTCAACCTGTAAAACCAACATGTCATCTTTAGATTCCAACCATGTATATAACCAACATCATATAAAACTATAATACCAACATTGGAAGTAACCATGAGGCTATGATTGCTGGGTGCCCTTAATGGGATTTGTAACAGATACCATACTGAGTATCAAGCTGGAAGTATGATATTGTTAGTATAAGAAATGTAGAGAATCTATAGATAAGAAATTGATTGACAGAAGTAGTACATAAAAATCTAGATCAGACATAAAAGGCTCTGGTAGGTTTAGGTCATGGATAAAGTAATCCAAGTCTAGTATTCTAATATTAGTCAGTCAATAGATACATGAGTGAGAAACAAGGTTGTATAGTAGTATATAGACTTATGATTTAATAAAGATATATGAGGCATTACCTCACCTTAATACCAAAAAAAAATTAAAAAAGAAATTAAAATAAAAAACATTATTATGTAAAATTTTCTTTTTAAATCTATAGCTATTTGTTGGTTTTTCCTGTTTTCATATAAAGAATTAAATGTATGCAATTCTAAATTTATATTTATTATGACAAGACAAAAATCAACAGTATAATTTGAAAAGATACCTTACAATTAAAGTAAATAGAAGATTTTTTACTATATTATTTGTGATTAAAATTAAAAACAAAATCATAATTGTTTAAATATTTTTATAAAATTATTCATGTAAGTCTAAATTTATATTTACTATAAAAATTAGCAAAACTGTTTAATTCAGAAAGATACTTTACAAATAATCTGATAAAAATTTGCCGGATGGTTTTTTGGCCGATCCGGTTAAGTTATTGATTTCGGCATGATCAATAGGATTTGCTAATTTTCCCCACCAGTTCCTATTGGATGAAGAGAAATTCTGCTTTTTATTGGACGAAATTACTTATAAATTTTTATTTGATCAAATAACGCAAGTATTATTGAAACAGTATAAAAGTCTAATAGAATGTATACTATACTAAAATTTTGCAAGGACATCGTTTTATTAGAAAAT